CAATATTGGTTAGTTGAATAGTCAATTAACCTCATGATTTCTTATTGGTTACTGAACTATTCTGTAGTCCCTGGAAGTGGGGCTGGCAGCTACTGTGCTCCAGCCCCACTCCCAAGAAGCCCCCCTGCCACTCAGCGCTGCTGCCTCTGTATCCGAGGCAGCTGCATGGGGTGCCAGACAGGAGCTGTGAAGGGAGCCAATTTAAAAACCAGCTCCCCTCCTGGACCGGCTGCCTGTCAGAGGCAGCAGTGCAGGGTGGCAGCAGCCCCTGTCCAGAGGGCTATATGAGCTCTTGGACCCTAGAACTGAACTAGGCTGATTGCTTGCCGGGCTCCTAATAAACTTTAAATGCAGAGCTGTAGTAGAGGTAGGTCCTGGACCTGGCATGAGCTAGGGCTCCTAATAAACTTTAAATGCAGAGCTGTAGTAGAGGTAGGTCCTGGACCTGGCATGAGCTAGGACTGAGCAGGGCTGCTGACCAGCCTGCTTAAAAACTGTACTGGGGGGGAGGGAGGAATGTGTGAAGTCTATAGTGCTTGCTTATCGGTTAATCGACTACACTATTACATCCCTAGAGTAGACACCGCTTTAGTTGCATTATCCATTCTCTGCTTGATGTTAACTTGAAGTTTCTGTAGTCACACTCATTAAGGTACCATTGAAGGCTAAAGGAAGGAGTCTATGGGAACCTAGCAGAGGTGGGGCTTCCCTATTTTAGGATTTTTCTATAGTGCTAGTATCCAAGTATTTCCCAGATAAATTAAGGTCCTTGGTGGACTTTCTCTTTTCCATGCCCTGGTAAAAAGCTGTTTCAGGATACAGTAAACTTCCGATAATCCAGCATCTTTAGGACCCAGGGGGTGCTGGATTATCAGATATGCTGGACTATTGGAAGGGGGGGGCTATGAGGGGTGTGGGGTGAGGGCCTTCTGATCTTTAAGGCTTTAGAATTTACATGGGATGGGATCACCCACACATACCTAACCCCACGGGAAGAGACGTGACACACACTCCCATACTCCTCTCTCACACAGGACAGATGATGAACTGAGCTTCCATGCCTTATGCTCTCCACCTTTCATGCCTGGCGACTGAGGGGCAGCGCTACGGGACCAACTCGGCAGCACCCCAGCTTCTCTGCCCCTGGCTTCAGATTCAGCTGCTGGTCAGTTTCAGCAGCGGTTGAATCGGGGAAGCTGGGCGCAGAGCAGCTCCAATTGTCCAGCTGCCCGGAGCACTAACGGGTTCCCTATGGTGCCGGAGCATTGGATGCCGGACCAATGGAGTTTTACTGTATTTCCTGACCCTCCGCCCTTGTTTCGTTGATGGTGGGAAAGCTTTGTCCACTCGGGAGGACTTGCGTTGAACTCTGGATCAGTCTGACCCTCTACTGGAAGCTTATTCACAAACATTATATCCCTTCCTAAATGGGAAACATTTATCTCTGGCATCTAACTTAATTGACCTAGGTTCTGTGAACTGCATTGTTGCTGAGGAGTCTTGTTGGGTCATTGGTGGAGAAATGGTCACTGCTTCCTGGCTTGTTGCTAGCTCCAGGCTTGGACTGGGAGGTGGTAGAGCACATGGCTGATGTGGTGGTGTTGGCCCCTTCTACTGAAGGTGCTGGCTTACCCATGGTCTGGAGCCCTTAGCTTTGTTTCCACCTTAGACAAACATACAGTGAGTTGCCATAATCCAGTTTTGGTTGTATCTTTGATGGACCAGATGCCAGGTCATATCAGAGTGTATTTGGGCCAATTTACTTGTGCATTTGTACCATATAGATCAAAGAAATTGTTAAAGGTATAAGCGTATTTCAAAACTTATGAAAACGAATGGGATGTTTCTTGCATTGTTTTTACTTGCATGTATCCTGTTATAATGCAAAAGCAAACATTTACATTGTAAATACCTCTGGGATTAAATAAACCATTCAAGCGAGACTGTAGAATGCTAATGAAGAACTTGAACAATGGTGTTAATTTCAAAGCAAGTGGTCATTGTGTGTGTGACTGGAGGGACATCAAAGGAAAAGCTCACATGGATAGAGATGCTTTCTGACAAGAGGCTATGATTATGGATTCTAGGAAAGATCCCTCAGCTTTAGACTCTTTGGACTCTTGTAGGAGATCCACAGAGACAATGTGGTCCTCTGAAGGACTTGAGGGGACCTGGCAGTTTATTCCATCATTCTCACCATGTGGAATTCCAAACTGATTCACCTGTTGAAAATATTTTACCAGCTTTAACCTCTCAGTAACTCTAATTTTTCATTAGCTAATAAACCTCCAGTTAGCTTACTATAGAGTTGGCTGCCAGCATTGTCTTTGGGGTAAGATCTGGAGTCCCAATTTTGTGTGGCACTGGGAGCAACCAGGTGGGGGAGTGATTTTTGGTGAAAGTGATCGTTGACATCCAGACAAACTGAAGTGAATGATAAGATGAGCTCTGTGACTCCATGGAAAGACTCATATTGTGATCCAGGAGTTCACATTTGTTCCTGGCTTGGTGAAATCTACTTTTGGAATCCATCACTGGCTTGGGGTGTTTTCCATGTTTTATGACCATTTGCCCTGAAGTAGGCACTCACAGGTCTCAAGCAGGGATGTTAGGAAGTGAGTATTGGGCTAATCATGCTACTGATAGAATTTCTAACACAATTAGTCGATAAGGGAGGAAGCCTCAGTCCTGGCTCACCGCAGGTCTGGGAGCTACCCCTTGCTGCAGCTCTGCAGTTTAAATGTAGTCAGAGCTGGCCTGCCTGCCCACCTGGCTCCTACATTTAAACTGCAGAGCCACAGTGGGGGTAGGTTCCAGACCCACTGCGAGCTGGAGCTAAGCTGGGTTTGCTCCATCCCAGCTCATACTGGGTCTAGCAGCCCTCGTCCACACTGGGTCCAGCAGTCCCTGCAGCTTTTTGTCTGAAGTTGGAGGGGAAATAAATTGGGTTGATGGCTTGGGTTTTGTAACCAACTCTAGGCTTTTCTAGGCTAACTTGTTTAAGCAGGGTCGCAAGGCTTCCCATCGCTTACTCAGAAATGGTGAGCAGGGGCTGCTGCTGGTGCAGCCTGTGTTCACCACCATCCCAAAGCAATGAGCAGTTGCTTTTGATTAAAAGCAGAGGACTGAGTTCCAGTTATTTTCTTATGACCAGTATCACTTCACAATTGCCTGGGTTCAATTTGGGCCTAGCTAGTCTTCCGTCAGCCATGTTTACTGTCTTGTAATGACAGTGTTTGTGGCAAAAGAGACAAAGCTGGGTGTCATCTGCATATTGTTGGTTTGCAGGTGTAGGATGGCCCAGCCCTGGGTTACTCTACTATTTGTATAAGTTGCTGTCGGGAAGTTTAACTAGTGCTATAAAAAGTGGTAGGACATTTGTCTTCCATCAACAGACTTCTATTATCCTGTGAGATACTTCCTTGCACTGAAGAGAAATCCAGCCAGGAGCATAAAAATAGCCAGCGGATGGAGAAGATCTTTAAACAAAATTAAGTTGCAAGAAACTAAAATAGTGTGCTGTCGCCAAACCTGTGTGTGCCTGAACTGAGTATCTCTTTGTTTTGAATACATCCATTTGCCTATAGTGACAATAATGGGCTCTGAAGCTCTGCGGGATATCTGTGTGTGGGACTCATCTAGACTGTTGTGCTATTTTGTTTTTACATATACACTAGAAACCTGAGAGCGCCTAACTCGGTCACTTTTGCTCAGCCAGTAAACATTGAATGGACCATAGTTGTCTCAATAGAAATGTCAATTGTCCTCCCTTTCCTGGCCAGAGGAGGCAGTCATGGGTGGCGGGAATAAGAGCCTTCCCAATCTGCCTAGCTGGCCCTGCCCACACATGGCTCCCAGATTCCTCCTTCCTCCCATTCAGCACTACTCCCCTAATCTCCTGGGACTGCCTGGGCTTCAGCCCTCCGTGGCCCTATGAGGCTGTGCCCCAGTTTACAGGAGAAACTGCTGGGGAGCCCCACACTTGCCTGCCCTTCTGTGCTTTGGAGAGGCCTAGCCATGGGCTAACGGTGCTGGGTGGGAGCAGGCCACCCATGCTGGGGGGCCATGGGCATCAGGGATGGGGTTAGGGGTTTGCTTCCACCAGCCCTAGGTTTACCCACTGCTCATGGAAGCAGCTGAGTGGGTAAAGGGACAGGAAGAGCCCCCTAAATGCACGTAATACCCCTTCTCCATGACCTACAGCCCTGCATAGATCCCCTCTGGGAAGCCGCTACTCTGTAGTTCAGTTAGCCCTCCAATGCCTGCTCTGGGGCTGGTGGGTACAGCATCAGAGCTTGCCCTGGCTCCTTACTGGCCTCTAGGTGGTACTTTTACTTTTGGGCTTAAGGTCTTGCAACAGTCTGTATTGTCACTTTTTTTCTTAGAACACTAACTCCAGACTCCTCTACAGTGACATGTTCATGTTGACAATTGGGTTAAATCTTTACTTGCACTGATGGTCATAAACCAATTAGGGAAAGGGCAAATTCCTCCTCCTGATGATTCCTCTTCCAGAGGGTTGAGTAGTGTTACTTGTTTGTTGCTAACTATTGCTTCATAATCTCATTCCTGGTATTTTGGTCTAAGTACGTTTAACTGTTTTGTGACTCTCTATTGACGTGTTTTGGTGGTTGCTTTTTTGGGAGGAGTGGGGAGGATGTATGCTCTGCTTGTGCTAGATTTGTGGTCTAACTCTTAGTGGGCAATGTAAAAGAATGAGTCAGGAAAACAGAATGTGTGCCACCTGCCAGTCCACATAGGCTTAATGAGGCTTGTACTCCCACCTCCTGAGTAATGTGACCACACTGCTAATCAGTAAGAGGGCTGACTAATGTCAAAATAATGTACGACAATCACTCTGTGCCCTGTCTTCTGAGAGATTTCTGTTTTCCTTGTGTTAGAATGAAGCAGAAAACATCCTGTTTAAATACAGACTGACTGCTCAGAGCTCTCAGCCTTTTTCCCATGAGCATAACAGTGAAGTCTTATGTTTTTGGCAGGTGTGAGGCATGAAGGGAGCCTCATTTTGGTCCTGAGAAGAGTGCCTGTACAGCCAACTGTATTGGGTCTGGAAAGCTTGCCACCGGCTCTGCCATGAGCAGATCACTATTGCAAAGCAGGATGCAGCAGGAGTACCGGAATGTTTGCGTTCTTCTGCCCAACAGAGAGCAACTCAGTGTAACTATTGGGGTGAGTTTTTTAAAATTTCATTCTGAGCTCCCTGTGATTCCATAGATGTACGTCGTGTTCTAATGGCCAGAGCATACAGCTATGAGCCTAACTTTCACTGCAGTTGAGAGTATACCCTATTAGTCCACTGACTAAAAAGACTATTAGCTGATTTAACATAATTGGTGTTTTGCTTCCTAATTGGGTAGCCTAGCAAAAATTTATAGGATGATCTGATTAATCTCCTCTATTGCATTTGATAATGAGGGCCTAATTTTTAATTCCCTTTCTCTCCTTTTCAAATTACTTTGTAACAAACTGAAACAAAACTCCAGCTTCTCAGAAACCTTAAATGACTTGACCTTTGGACCTCCGGTGGCAGAGCTAATTGACATCAGCACACTGTGCAGTTAAGCTCTGATCTTTCTTTTGGGAGTTGTTCTGTAAGTGGGACACTTCCCCCCCCCCCCCCTTTCTTCTCTGCATCAAATAAGAGAGAGCATTGACTTTGTAGATCTCTAGGTACTTTGCAAATTATTATCATCTCTGTTTTACTTTAGGGAAATCAGAAGCACAAAGACAAGTAAAACAACTTATGCAAAGTCTTTCTCTCTCTTGTTCACAGGGCTAATGTTTCTTGACCTGCAACATGGAATCCATGATTAGACCACACTGCTACCTTTATAATACAGTTTCACAGGCATATGCGAGAAGCTGAACCAATGCCTGAAGCTTCTTGGTTCTCATGCTAGCTAGCCATCTAACTTGTGAACTGCCCCTTTTGGGGATGGGGGTCTATCTAGAGTTTTTCTAGACTTTTGGAGGGTAGAGGGGATGGAGGGGGGGGGGAATCTTACCTAATTCAAAATGTAGCTTAAGGGTTTTTTGAGTGTTGTGCATGTTTTCTAAAGTCCATACAGAAGTTTTCCTACTTGCCATACTTAAATCTAGTATCCCTTATGAAAACAACCACAGGGCTTGGGTAGATCAGGGGACTGTTAACAGATTCTGGAGCTTGTCACTTTCACTGGCTCAAAACCAGGCCAGGTAAGATGCTTTTATGTAAACGCTTAGTGGGTAGATGGCCATAGCAGTATAAGTCTCTATTACAGCTGGCCCTAAATATCCCACTTCTTGGAAGCTTTTAACAGAGTGAGTGCAGATCCAACCACATGGAGACTAAAGTATCCTCCCACATTTGGGCATTGATTATACTAGAAGTGCATCTTGGAAATGTCCAATTATTGCCCCTCCATTATCAATTCTGGGATCCTTAGTATAGATGATCTGCTGGTGTTTTAAGCATCTTATCATGTAATCCTGCTCTACAGTGTTAATCAACATTGAGTATCTCATCACTGTAACTGTGGGGTGTGATTACAGTTTGCATAGACATGAGCTAACCAGAGTAGTGAAGCTGGTGTAGCAGTGGCTTTTGCATGTTGCGTACAAGTTCACCTGGAACCCTGAATAATTTCTCAGCTGGGCAGCCTGCAGTGACGCTCCTGCTAGATACATTGAAGCAGCAGTCACATCTCCGAGGATTGCAGATTAGCCATAAGCAGGGGTGCTTAAATTGGTTGTGGTGTCTGGCTCCCAGTGTTTAAAAATGTAGCTTGAAGCACTTGCATAACGTAGATGGGGGCCATTAGAGTTCAGCTTTATAGTATAGGCAGGAATGGAAAGAATGCCAGAGGGATTCTTCTAGCCATTTGTCTCCTTTCTTGAATTCTCTTTGAATGCCCGTGCTGTTGAAAAACTGAGGGGTATGACTAAGTGCAGCCCCTTTGATACTTTATCTTGAAAGTGTGGAGCTGTACATATTTGCCCTTACCTATGTGTGAGTTCTTGTATCTGTCAATAGCTTTTTAATAAGTCTGTTTTATGCCTGCTTTATTGGCTAAATGGACAGGAAACTGTTTTGTTAATGCATTTGGATGTGTTGAGTGAGAGAATTTTGAAAATATAATCAGGTGCAGGTTTCATAAAGAAAAGAACCTTATCTTAGGTAGATCAGGGATCAGTAACAAAATATCCTCACTCCCTCTCCTCTTTGCAAAATCTTAAAGGAACACTGGAACAGTTTTCTAGGGGCATAGGTGAGACTTCAGATTTAATTAGCATTGCAACAGATGACTTCCAACTTCATTACAATAATAAGGTTACTGCTCACTCACGACTTTCATAGCATTTGACTTTTTTTAATGCACTGTACAAACAATGCATCTTCCCAAAAGCCCAGCGAGGTAGATATCACTAGTTTTCAGCAGATTGAAGAGCAGATTCTCCACTTGATCCGCAAAGAGGTTATGCAAATAATTCCCATTACTCCCTTAAGAGCTGCCACACAGCATGTCCATAAAGATGAGGTAATACCTGTATATTCTCATCAAATATAGGTCAGATCTAACCTGGCACTTCAGTGCTGTAACTTTCTGACTCAGGGTGTCTGTCTGACACGCAGCAAGTGCTGCAGAGTGCAAGTGTGAACTAGGCTACACCCTTGTGGAGGTGGCTTACCTAGAGCGCTGGGAGATCTTTCACAGCACTTGTGCCGTGGCCACACTTTCAGTTTAAAGCATTGTCATGGCTGCACTTCAAACTTCAGTGTAGACAAAGCCTTAGATTCAGAGAGTAGGACTTGTACTTTGACACTACTAATGCATTTTTTTAAAATCCACACAGAAATGTGGCTTTAAAAAAGAAAATCCCTTCCTTCTCTCCGTATCGGATGTATACAAGTTCACACGATTGTCAACATCTTTCTCTTCCTTTGTTATATAAAAGATAGACATTTGAGATACTACATCTCTGCAACCTAGCATTTCTAAAACACTAATTCCTGAGAGGCCGCCAAAAAGTCTTGAAGGAACCAAACTGTTGTGGAGAATATAGGAGAGCTTGCTAAGCACTCTGTAAATTGAAGCAAAGTGGGAGTAATCTTTCCTGCGAGGAACGAATGTTTGGGCATAGAAGCAGAAAATGAGCCCAGCTCTGTGCAGACCTGATGGGAAGATTTAGTCTGTGCCCTGAGTATCTTACTCAAACAGTAAGCAAAATGGTGCAACTTAGAATGCACTGTGACAGGAGAAGGTTTGAACATTAGATATTATCTGTTTTCTTGGCAGACTCAAACTATCCTTCAGGGAAGAGTGGAGACCTAACTTCTCCATTGCCTTGCCTGTTGTAGAGATACCGACCCCCTGGAAATGGATGTAAAACACTACCATTCTCATTTGGCAGCAGTTTAGACCCATGTTGCGGAGCTGCAAACGGCCAAAAAGAGGCACAACAGTGGAAAATTGAATCTTGTCCTTTTTGAGATGATAGAAAATTCATGCTGCTTTTGGTACATTTGGTACCACAGTGAAAGGGAGTTCCAGGTATCAAGGATAGCTTTGCATTATTCTTCAAAGTGAGTTGTTGGGAAGGAGATGTCTCAAGGGAAGGAGCGCAGGAGAAGAGAATACAAACTTGATTAAAACTAAGTGAATCAAGTTGAGGAATCAACTTTCACTTTCCGGCCTCCCCCCCAAAGAAGCCCATTTTTCAATTAGAAAAATTGTACAAAGGTGTTTAATCTGTTCAAATATTCCCCTCTCCCCCCTTTTTTAAACACTTTATTGTCCCCTATGACTATATTTGTATTTGATCTACAAAATTCCATGCTGGATCTTGATTATAATCTGAGCTAGTGGCATCAAATATCTCATATGCTATTGTTTGGCTGAGGTCACATTCCTGTCAAAGTAAAATGTATCAGATTAGGGGGTACTGTGAAACATCTCCCTTTTTTAAAAAAAAAGTGGAAAAATGTTCACTGAGGCCATTGGTGCAAGGTACAGCCCTCCATGTGGGCAGTGACTTGTAGCGCACAATCCTGATAGCTTTCAGTTTTACCTGTTGAGCCCCTTACTACTTTCTGAGCTGGAAAAGGTAATGGATTGGCACTACAGTTCCTCTCATGCATAAAACAGACACCGTGTGACGCTGATACTGAGATTCTCTGAAAGCGACCGGATAATGAAACACTCACTCTATCCCCACAAACTGAACAGAGTTGGGGACAATGATTTCAGAAAGGAGGGGAATAAGCCCATGATCAGAGGGAATGGAAGGCTAACTGAAATCACACTCCGTGAACCTCAGACTTTCCCCATTGCAGAACTGAGACCTAAATTGAGGCATATAACTCCACAGTTGCCACCCTTAATCCCCCCCCATCTCCCGCCGACTCCATCCAGCAAGTCTTCTGCTTCCTACTCGCTGAATCCTGAACCCAGACGCCAGCATCTGCTGTTTTACACATGACCATGCCAGAGCTGGTGGGGCTGCAGGTGACCTGTGTTGGGGAACAAGCACAACTCTGCACAAGCTGCCATGGCTGTGCGCGCATTTGATCTTTGTGGTCCATTCATAAGCTTCTGATGGTCTGGATTTGTCCTGTGGGCTGCCTATTGACTAGCCTTGTCCTAGACTCAAGGGATGCATTTGGTCTCTGGAGAACAGCAATAGATAAATTCACAATAATGGTTTGAAAAAAGTCAACTTGCCGTGCTAATTAGGTGGCTGGCTGTAGCAACCTACAGGTTAAACCTCTACAGTCTGGGACTTCTTTGGACCATGGATATTGCTAGACCAGAGAGCTCCAGCTAGCCAGATTCAGAGGCACAGGCTTGGTTGGGAGCACAGCCCTGACCAAAGGCAGGAGGGTTAGTACCAGGGAGAGCAGCTCCAGCCAGGTGGGTGCCAGTGGGGAGCACAGCCCTCCCCTGGTCTGGCAAACTGGTTCCAAGGGTGCCAGACCAGGGAGGTCCCACCTGTACGTCTGTCCAGTTTTTAAGCTTTTTGCCTCTTATGTTTATGAAGATCATAGGTGCTGACTCCTCTTGCTTGGGGGAGAGGGGGTGCTGGACTCTCTTCTCCCCCCTCCCCCCCTCCCCCCATTTCCTCCTGCCCCTGCCTCTTCCATGCATGCCCTGTCCCTGTTCCTCCCTTTCCCTTCCAGAGCTTGAATCCACTATTCGCAGCACTCTGGAAGGGAGGAAGAGGAGTTGGTTAGCAGTGCCACTGGTGTGTGAGAGGGGAGGGGGGTGAGTGCCAAGCTCTCCTGTGTCTCCCCACACACTCACCCTCTAGCCCCAGAGCACCCATGTAGTCGGTGACCGTGGTGACAATAACATTCCACATGTAACTGATCCAGTACTGTTTGCAGGCAGGCTGCTCTAGTGTCTCCAGTGCCACTCCTAGGTTTGTCCAGCCACTGCACAATGAAATTAAAAAGATTCAAGTTATTGGGAATTGGAAATAAGTATCTAGTTGCATTTGCACAGTATGAATAGTCTAGATGACATAGCCCAGCCTCTCACTAAAAAGGCTACAAATACAGTGGTTCCTAAGTCTGGTCTTACTGGAATAAGAGAGAGTGTGTGTGTGTATAAAAATATAATATGGCAAAAACGCCCTACAGCAATCAAAAAATCTACCAACTCTGACCCAAGAACTGAATTGTTTGCTGTGATTCTAATCTGGCTGCTCTTGAGTCTGTTGATCACCTATGACTCTGAAGAGTTGTTCAGTGCCATTATGCGTGTACTACCTGTAATGTTGGATTGGTTTTGTGTTTTTGTTTTTTCAGGTAAAAGCCACTGGACAGGAGCTCTTCCAGCAAGTTTGTGACTTAGTGAAGATTAAAGACCCTCACTTCTTTGGCCTCAGTATTATTAAAAGTAAGCAAGCTCCATGCATGGAGACAACTGACTTGGCAAACATCCACAGACACATTTGTGTGTCTGCAGTGTGTGTGCATGTATTTACACACTGATTCCTGAGTGGGAATTCATTGTAACAAGGTCACAAACTATATAAATAACCCAAAGCCTTGTCAGAGTCCTTTGATCTTCAGTCTGCGAGCACACACATTTGAGGGGGACAGGGCAGGTATATTTAACCTGGTTCTACTCTGTTTTTCTATAGCTGTGTTTGACTTGCTTTTTTTCTCCACTGATTTTAAAGTGTCAGTTGTTGCATGAAAGTTGAAACTTTAAATAACTTTGGGGCTAGAAGTATTGCATACCTTTCCAAGGAGTAATTTTTAAAGAATGTATTTCTCATTA